TGTCTTTTGCCAAGACTGTGTAAATTTGTTTTCGACTTTCGAACATTCCTTTGGCATCTTTGCCGCTTGTTTGTATTACGTTTAAAAGAGGTCTAAAGGTAAAGAGAGATGAACAGAGAAACTGGTAAGTATTCCACTGAAGGTATTGAAGAAATAAAAAATTGATTTAACTATTTAATATATCTAAAACCGTGAAGCTACCAGAAGCAATGAAGCATTTTGTTAATAACTTCCGGAGCACCTGAGAAAATTGAAACATACCGGAGATATACATTTTACGATATCAACCATTTTTGAGACCACGTATGTCCCTTATTAGGAGATAACTGCATTCTAAGCTTTGACTTCGTAAAACGTAGAATTTACTGTCGCAAATAGAGTTTACCTAGCGACGCGCAGCAGAGCTAATAAACGGATCTTTGCGACAGTAAAATCAGATTTTGTGAAGGTAAAGCCTAAAATGCAATACATGTATCTCCATTCGTATGCCACATTTAAAAATGAATTCGATTTTAGTAAATTTGTTGGCGGCTTTAAAACGCCATAAATGAAAAAGTCCGTAAAACTGTTTTATCGTCTTTGGCATCTAACCAATGTGACGTCATACGTATACTCCCGATGTCAAACATAAACACTAGACGTATCTATACTTTTCGTACGCTTCTGAATGGTTCAAATATTGACAAAAAGAAAATTTTGAGGAACAGTGGTAGAACGTGGATTAGAACCCTCAGACTATTAGTCAACGTCCAATGAAAATTATTGTTTCAAACTAATTGCATTAGAATGTCATGATTTATTTCTGTAACATCGTCAGCACTGCTACTAGAACACCTCCAATTAAGTTTCATCGGCAAACAACCAATTATAGACTGTTTTTCCCAACATCGATGGTATATATCAGGATAAGGGGTCAAATACAGAGGTTAAAGGTACTCACGCAGGAATAAAAGAAACACATTACGCGAAACTTTTATTAACAACTCTTTGTTGTCTGTTTTGGAAAATTTTAGAACCGTGTTTAGTCTGATAAAAACTGAAAATGAATAATCTTGCCCAAAAAGGATGAAAAAATAGTCTGCCCTACAAACTGCAGAAAATAAACGGTACGAATTCGAAAATAAATATTCGCACATATATCTTCATCACTCAATAAGTTAGTCTATTTTCATATGATGAAGACATAATCTTTCAATCAGTTTAATTGAGGTCTGGAGCTGGAATGTCAGTAACTGCTAGTAGTCCTTTGTTTATTTATGTATCATTGTCTTTTTGCTTAGTTTCTTTTGTTACCTATTCTGACATTTGACTCGGACTTCTTTTTAAATGATTTTACTGTACGTATTGCTGTGTGTTTGTTTATTCTACACTGGCAAGAAGTTTAGAGGAGGGTTGAGATCTCACAAAACATGTTTAACCACGCCGCATTTATGCGCCTGTCCCAAGTCAAGATTCTCTGGCCTTTGTTATTCTTGTTTTTTTTTTTTTTAATTTTAGTTCATTTATATGTTTCGGAGTTTAGTGTGACGTCCATTTTCACTGAACTAGTACACACTGAAGTCCGCCTCCGAGTGCGTGATTTTCTCGCTGTGTTGAAGACCAATTGCTGGCCTTCGGCTTTTTCTGCAGTTTAGTCGAGTTGTTGTCTCTTAAACACATTCCTCATTTTCATTCTCAATTTTAGTGTACAGATGGAAAAATATAAATGTGTCCGTTAAATCCTCTTGTATCACCTCCTTTTCCTAGACTAAATGGTCTTCCTTTTAAAAAGGAAACTGACAAATGTGAAGATTCTTCGCCAACAAGAACTCAATATTATTTCTTTCCCAATGAAAACTATAAATGTGCTGATAAAGGGACCATGTTTCCTTACATTTTAATATGTATTTGCTAAAATTTTATACAGTGACTTCACGAACAATGCAACCATAAAATTTTGGGATTGAATTTGTAAATATAAATATAAAACAGAACAACATCAAAATATGAATGTTGTTATTCGGATTGTCGATAATATGAATTAAATGCTGTAATTAGTATTAGTTTACCATGTTAAATATCTTTAATCTATTTTGAACATGCATATCAACGTAAAAACATCTAAATTATCCTACTTCTCTGCCCTAGAAAATCTAAAAGTTCTTTGATATGCTTGCCTCAATTCGAGAACCTCTTTCATGGTTGATTTTGCTTATATTTTTAAATGAAATAATCATATAGTTAATGTTAAAGACATCTCTTTGATAGTTACCTCTACTTAGACTTTGGGCAGTTAAGATTTAGACATGTGATATTCCGATTCGTATTTCGTAAGGCTTACATATATTTTCAGATCATGTCTTTCCTGGTTTTTGCATAATTTTTTTACGATTCTTCCAACCAGCCAAATTGTTAAGTTTGGTTTGAATTGATTAAGTTGTTCTTAACAAGAAGTTGTCCTAATTTATGCCAATCATTTTTGTTGACACATCTACAATGATATATGGTATTTGAAAATAATGAACAAGAATTTATCTTATTTTCAATGGATTTTTTTAAATTCAGTTATTACATAATATGCGAGCAATTTGTTTACAACTGGACATCAATCATCTTTAACTAGTCAAGCCTTTCTTGAGTGAAGATACACCATTCCGTTGAATAAAGGCCACAGAAAAACCCCAAAAATCATACAAATATTGGTTACATCTTATATTACATAAACATACATGATAATGAGATAACTTTACAAATATAGATATTGATGAAATAAGTGGTGCTGAAAAACAAACAATTGATAAATACCGTTCCTATCGTCCTGTTCAACATTTGGAATTTTGGAAAACTAAAATATTTTTCAATGGCAACTTTTCTTGTGATCAGTTTAAAATTAGTAGAAATAAATGCATCGAAATTTTAACTTTTGAGTTTTGTTGTATTTCCATAATAAAATGCAAGCCATTTGAAATAGTTTATACTTAACAACGTATACTTTATTCAAGTTATCTGAAGTGCTAGTCCGCAAAGGGAGGTTCAATAAAATATAACCTTCCTGCTGTTAAATTTTAACTGTGAAACAAGGTGATTGTTGATAATAAAACTTTCGCTTGTCCAGGGAACGCAGTTATTTCGGAGCGATTTTTTTTTTACATGCAATTCTTTTTTTTTAATCACCTACGTTTTCTAAATACTATTTTTGCAGTAGTGTAATACTTTTGAGACAAATCATATCAAAATTATAGAAAACTTCATCTGTTCTAAATTAAAATATGGACAATTCTATGTTATATGTGTCTTGCATTCATTTTGACAGCTTTTAAATATACCAATATTTACCGTTTGCAACTGGAAGAAATTACCTCTTTACTTATAAAATCATGACGTTATTTTTTTTTACAGTGTAACTTCATCCCCCTTCTTTCTGTTTGAGGCATAAAACACTAAGAAAAAAAATATTGTATACATAAGGGTCTATATTTATAGACAACGGATATCAAAAGGAGGATAATTGTGTTCCTAAGCCACTTACACACATTTCGAACATTACTTACGTAATATGAAAGATATTTCCGTGTGTATCACCATATCATATGTGGCAAAAAACGTCACAATATAGAACGGTTTTCAACTGAATCCTCCAATTTATATTATCATTCCCTTTCTAATTTTACATCTAATATGTTTAACATTTTAAGGAAATATTTTATCTTTTTCAAAAATTATTGACATTATTTTCTCATTAATTGAAAAACACAAATTATATATAAAACGTTATTATAATTTCCATGACAGTTGCATAAGATTTTCATTAACGTTAAAAATTGTTCTATTTACCGTCGAATTCTACCAAAAGTTTATCAATAATGGTGTATCAATAACGCTATATCAAATACGATATGTATCAAAATTTTTCCCTTTTTAACGGTATATCAAATACGATATGTATCAAAATTATTCCTTTTTTTAGTCAAAACTATCCTTTCTATTGTTCTCATATTACTCAAAATGTTTTATTCTATACTTTAACAAAACTAAAGGAATAGTTATCAATGGTTATTAGGTAAAATGTATAATAAACAGTTTTGGTAAATGATCATAAAACAAAAAACAAAATACATGAATACATGGTCATTTATACCTTGACACCTTCTACAGATATAGCCATAGCTGCTGATAACTTCTTTTTGACATTTTAACAGGTCATGAAAAGAAAAACATACTTTGCACTGCTAACTTACTTTAGACAAGTGTAACGAATTATGCTGGCTGTCAAAATACAATGGTTAAAAGAAAATAACTAATTAAAATTTTCCACACTGTGTTTTTTCGGTCAAATAAAAAAGTTGTCTTTATAATTTATTACTGTAACTGTTTAGCCTATTTTTGGCATTATCCATTTGATGTGGCTCGGTACTTGTACATCCGGTCATTGTGTTGTCGTGCTATGGTAAATTTTGGTATTATTGTCTTTCGTTTTTGCTAATGAGCTTTGTCTATATGCCTTTTTGTTTGTCTTTGTTGACATATTTGCTTGCTTTTGTAGTGATTAAGATTATAACACAATGTTGACTGCTGACTATGATGTCTATTTGTTTTGTTCACACATCGTTGTCAATAAAATGGACTTTTTTGCGACTGTCATACAAGTGAGAGGGTTAGCTAGCTATAAATCAGGTTTAATCCACCGTTTTCTAAATAAGAAAATGCCTGTACCAAGTCAGGAATATGACAGTTGTTATCCATTCGTTTGATGTGTTTGAGCTTTTGATTTTGCCATTTGCTTAGGGTCTTTCCGTTTAGAATTTTCCTCGGAGTTCGGTATTTTTGTTATTTTACGTTTTCCGACGGACAATCTTAAAAAGGGATAATTTTGATACAGAACGATTGAACGAAACCGGTACAGCAATGCGATATTTTGGAACAAATGTATATTCACATTTTATATCATATAGATCTGCTGTCTAAGAAAAGTTCATTAATTAAATGTAAAGGATTTGTTTTCATAATATTTAGGACATACGAAAAATGAACATGTTTTATTTTCAAATTAAAAAAAAAGATAATACTATTTCTTTTCTAATGTAAGATATTATACAAACTAAGACAATAATAAATAAATAAAACAAAGCAAATCTTTCCACTGGTCCTATTTCAAAAACCATTGGAGCAAGAAAAAAAACCTATGCAAAGAAGATAAAAAACGATTCAAACAAATCATGTATATCGAAACATGAGTATGTTTAAATTAGAACTACAAATTCTTGAAAAACAAAATCAAAATATTTCTAAATTGTTTTCCCTAAAATAAATTGGCCATTTCACAAATTACTTCTTTTCAGAATTCAAACTTTCATACTGTTTTCTCTTAATTTTCATTATATTCATTACACTCCAGATTATGTAATACAATGTTGATAAGCAAGTGAATTTTACGTTATTTCTATTAGTTCATGATAAAACTGGTTGAAGGTAGCTCTAGAATATTAACTTTTGTAAAACCTTTTTTTTTTGTCTTAAATGTCATTCAACTTCATTCTTTATTTGGCTTTTGAACCTTTTTCAGTCGAACGTCACTTACGAGTCTTTTGTAGATGAAACGTACGGCGAACAAAACTATAAGCCAGGTTTCTTTGACGAGTTTTTTTTGGAGGGACAATACTAAAAGATGCTGTTTGTTCAATTTCAGGGACAAATATTTTATGCATATTCAGGACAAAAAATAAATCTTTTGACAGCTTTTTGAAAGTCAGTCAATCGAACTATTAGAGGATAATTTCCACTTCCAATGGAAAATGAGAAATTGTTGAATAGGTCAACAAGTTACTTTACAACAAAGCAATTTAAAGACCATTTAAGAGTTTTGTAAGGTTTCTTAAACGTACAGGGAGCGTAGCAACTTCCATTACGCTCTAGGCATAGGATGTTATTTCAATATTTCGACCAGGCATGGATTTGCATCTATACATCCTCCACAGCTACAAAGAACGATTAATATAACAATACCAATAAAAGTTCATATCTATTTTGTTGTCAAACGTTAGTAGGTTGTCCTGCGAGTATCTTGTTACTATGTTAAGATTTAACTAGTTTGTAGCGTAACAGGCGATCCACGGGATAGAAATCTCATCCGAATATCTGCCAAATAGTTTTGAACAAATGAAGATCATCAAATCTAACCAACGTAATTGATGGTGAAAAAACACAATTTTGGCTAGTCTATTATTCAAATTTAAACTCTAAGTGGTACTTGAAAGCACCGTGTACATTAAGTTTTATAAACATGTACGTATTTGGTTAATATTTACTTACTATAAACGGGCATGAGTAATTCCTATCTGCGAAAGCGATGATAGTTGATCTATTTGAGAAGAAGTTTTAATCTTATTTACATAATGCTAGACAAAACATATAATTAAACACAAATAATAAGGCAAATTCATGCCTGACGTCGTTGTATATAATTAAAGATATGTAGCGTCAAATAGAGAACAGATTTATTAGTAGGATTTAACTGCCTTTCTTAGTTGTTCCCAAAAGACAACATCGCCGTACTCATCATTTGGATACTCAATATATGATTGACAATGAACCAGTTCGATAATTTGAAGTGGAAGATCGCAAGCAGAAATATGCTCGTAAAATACTAAGAAAAGGATGTTCTCACAATTGCGTTCATATATACTCTCCATTTTAGCCATATTATATTCGAACATACACCAGTACGATGCTAAATAATTTGAAGACATTATGACAATTGTTTTCCGGCTGTTATAAATTGCGGATGTAATATTAGTGGCGATGTCATTTCCGGGGAGGAAATTTCGCCTGTGCAAGCACAACTGAATTCCACCAGTTTTCTCTAATTTATGTAGAAGTGTATTGTGGACAAATGTTTCATCTTCGTTGGCATATGACACGAAAGCATCATACATGTATAGTCTTTCATCTTTCTTGTTGGATTCATGTTCGTGGTCATGCCATTTGACTTTGATCATGTAGTACAGATAGCGTAGTTTCCATCTGTATCTGTAAATGATACCACCACAAAGAATAAAAATAAACATCAAAATTCCTATTGTAATTCCAATTATTTTACCTTCATATGACATACATTCCTTTTGTATGGTTTCGTAAACTTCTTTAGGGTTTTGAAGAAGATTGATGGTGTTTTCTGATGTTTTACATTCGTATTTCTCCCGACGATGAAAATTAGTATGTGTGTAAACTGCCCATTTGACAAAAGACAGAGAACCGCAATTACATACAAGATTATTTCCACTGAGATCAATAGTGAGATTTGTATTCATTTCAGCAATAGAATCCAACTCGTTCATGGCATATTTACTCAGCTTAGATATTCGATTATTCCTTAAATTCAAAAACATAAGCTTTTTCATTTGAGAAATTTTAAAATTCACGTCATCGAGCATATTTTCACTGATGTCTAATCTTTCTAAATTTGTTTGCATTTTAAATAACAGATTTGGTATATCCGCTATTTTGTTTTTAGAGAGATTAATGTGAACGACGTTCTGAAGATTCTGAAATATTTCTCCATCGATATCCGTTGGTAGAATGAGTCCCAACAGATTATTTTGCAGCAGTAAAAATCTTAAGTTGATAAAGTCTTTGCTGAAAAATGTCTTTGAAACATTAGAACAGAAGTTCGACGATAGGTCTAAAAATTTCAGGTTATTCACATTAGTTATTGGTCCTGTCCATGTGTGCAAGACATTGTCACTAAAACTTATATAATTTAATTCATTTGCACTGAAATTTAAGTTTGGTATTTCAAATTTCAGGTTGCTTGATCTAAGTGAAACTTTTATCAGTTTACTTGGCACAAGAAAAATAAACTTATTGGATTTCTTTTTCCACATTTCCAAAATTGGAAGTATGTTAAATAACCAGTTGTTTTCGGAATAAATTGTAACAGTATCTTCTCTAGTAGGGCATTCTTCTACGTAGGAGGTGAGAACATCATGAGGAGAAGCATTATCAGAAACTTCTAGTGATGTGATTGGCAGTTCCACTAGATCAAGCACATATTTGCCTAAAGAAAAAACGTTGTCCCTCACATCTGCACTTTTTAAGGACTCAGGCAAATATTGTATCGTACCGTATTCTATTTCCTGGATACGGTTTCCAGCGGCTTCGAACCTAACAAGTGATGTATTTCTTAAATTCCAAATGTGAAATGTTTTTAGTACTGTAGTCATTCCGAAAATACCATGAATGTTGTTAACTTTAAGGATTTTAATTGCCGAATGTTGCAAATCGGTGGTAATATTTTCAAGCGTTTCGAATCCCAAACATGTATTCAAAGAAACATCAAGTTCAAAAATATTTCTCAATATCTCAAACGTTCCTTTCAAAATATATTGTATTTTGCATTTGGATAAGTTTAAATGAGTTATTTGAGGCAAGAACAAGAATGTTTTCTTTGCAAGTATGGTCATTTTGCAAAAACCTGTAAAACCAGATATATCTATAATTGTAAGGTTTTTTAAATAGACAAATTTTTCTTCGAAAAATGCAATTTTGTCTGAAACATAATCTATTGACAACGATTCTAGAGACCGTAGTTTCCATAAATCTGGCACAAATGAGGTGTTGACATTTCTTTTCAAATCCAAGTTTTTCAACTTCTCCGAGAAATAAAAGGCTGAATATTTAAACGACATGTGTTTATATTTCAAATCATTGTTGCTTAGATTTAAAGAGAGTAAATTGTGGAGTCCTTTGAACGAGTTTTTTCTTATTTGACTTATTCTATTAAAAGACAAATCCAAAGACTTCAATAAAGAGTTGCCTTCGAAAATCCCATCTTCTATTGTACTGATATTATTATTTTGGAAAGATAAATCTTGAAGATTGTTTGGTAATCTAGGTATACGAAGTAAATCTTTGTCAGAACAATCCGCTATAAGTTGTTCTGAACCAGGAACGTTTTTGCATAAACAAGAACTAGCAAACAGACATTCTTTCCATTCCTTCATCTCAGTACCTATTGCTGTAACAGTTTTGCAACTTACTTGTAATACAAAAGCAGCAAGCAGGATGCAAGAAAGGTTGATGTTCCCTGCATAGAAAAGATGTTAAACAGACTTTGAAAAATTTGATGTTGAAATAATGAAATTCAATAACGTTATGAGGGAAAATAAGCAAGACACTAATTCACTGCAAATTCGCAAGATAAACTATATCATTTAATATCTGTAACAAGACAGGAATATGGCAGTTGTTTTTCACTTGTTTCGTTGATTTATAAGGTTTGAATTTGTCATTATTTATGGACTTCCCCGTTTTTATTTGCATTGAAGTTCAGTATTTTTATTATACTATCATAAACAAACATCGATAAATTTTCACTTCTGTACTCGCACAATGAACAACAAATGCATTTATTTTGTACAAGATATTTCCGTACTTCTAACAACAAAATTATTATATTTGAATTTACCTGTGTACGTTATTTTATTTAACGCCATTTTGTCCCAGGTTAGAGTTGTCTTTTTGGCATTGTTTTACGTCCCCATCTTTTTATTGATATTGTATTTATATTGTGTCATAGATACAATTTATTCGTTCAGTGTATGTTTCTTTGTGTTTGTTAAAAGAACAGAATTTTTTTGCCGTTGTATAATATTCTAACAAAATGGAAAATATTGGCACCTTTACTTGTTATGCGACAACAAATTTTGTTATAGAGAAAGTCCAAATAACTGTCCATTCCTGGGAAATAATGAAGAGGAGGCCCGTAAGGCCGACGCCCATTATTTCCCAGGAATGGACAGTTAATTTGACTTTCGCTAGCTTAAAATACACCTTTAATATTCAGAACGAATCTTTAGATTATAACATTTAAATAATTTTATTTCATTTTGTAATGGTTTTCTTTTCATTTTCCCCGTGGTGTACCCAATAATCCACAGGCAAAATTTAAGACCAAGCTGACCATATACTCACTTAAAGAAGTATCAATGAACAGTTGAATAATTACTATAAAAAAATCTTGCATAAAGTTCATCCAGATTTATGTTTTAAGTCATTTGATACGCACGTCTTTCTTGTGGTGGGATTGAAAGGATATTTATGTGTCCCTTCCGGAGCACATGAGATCACCCCCAGTTTTTGGTGGGGTTCGTGTTGCTTAGTCTTTAGTTTTCTATGTTGTGTCATCTGTACTATTATTTGTCTGTTTGTCTTTTTATTTTTGGCCATGGCGTTGTCAGTTTGTTTTCGATCTATGAGTTTGACTGTCCCTCTGGTATCTTTCGTCCCCTTTTTAAGTGGTATTTCGGGAGAGAGAAAACCCTAATATTTGTTAATAGATTATGTTTATTTTTCGTTTGGATGTAGAATCGTTCGACAAAAATGACATGGTACAACTAGAATAAATTTCCAAGTATGTAACAATTTAGTATAGGTTATTTAACTAATAAGGGTGTGCTCGATTTGAAATCATATCTGGAACAAAATATGATTCTATATTTCAAACCATTCTGTTAGATCAAATACAATTAAACAAGAACACACTGTTTCGTGCTTCGTGCATAATCCCAAATTTGTTTTTTTCGCTCCCTTTGCTCATAACTGCGAGACAAAAAAATGCTATGCATGTTTTAGAGTCTTAAATATAGAAAAGTGGCAAACAATTTTAGAGAAAAAAAACCCGCGTGATTAAAAACATTTCTAGATTGTGTTTTGTTTGTCTTTAACTTAAGTGGAAAACTACTTTTTGATTTCATTTAAACAGTTAAACAATTCAAGATTAACGCCGTCATTTGCATTGCCGATATAACTGTTATATTTGCCACTGGACATATAATAACAGTGAAGGTATTCGATTGTGTTACGCGTTTCTGTTGAAATTAAATAAAAATCCCACCCAATATTTAACACAAGCCTTTTCCAAATGTTATCCGTACCCCCTCAACTTCTATTCATTAGAACCATATACAAATTATAACAACGAAAAATCAAATAATATACCGAATACGTCATTTTGAGCATTTCACTTTCTTGAACTATTTATTCTATTTAACCACAATAGTATTGTAGAAACTGAGTAATATTTCTTTTTTTAATGTATATATTAAAATGGAAAAAACGATTTTTGATGTCAAAATCAAAATACAACACTTAAAATTTCAAGCATATGATATCTTAAACGGTAAAAGTAAAAGCAAATCTGTAAGTTTGTTTCTCTAATTTTCCTTATTCTATAATGTTAATGTCTAACTGAGTTAACATATTTGATATTTTGTAGATGCTCAAAAGAGGAATGGCATTCAATGGAAAATATGCGTTTTTTACCCGCTTGGATATTATCCGTGACAGAAATTCAGCCAAGATTAGCATCGGAAAACAAATTACGGATAATGTTGTGGAATTTTATCGAAAACGATACTATATATAATACGATGAAATTACGACTCGCAAATAAAAGCTGTTTATTAATAATGAGATATTTGGTGTTCATTGTATTACTACGAGGTTATCCGAATTTAAAAAAAAAATCCATTTGATATCAGCCGTTTTAGTAAGTTTTCAACTTCATTCAATATCGCGTTACGTCCTTTAGATGGGGAAATCATCCCTTCGTACATTTTACGGACGCCATCACGAGTTGGTTGACCGTTATGGAATAACCGTTTCACAGATCATATCGGATATGTTCCTTATGTCGTAACTACAATACCCTCCCTTTTCACGAATGTGACTTACCGAATTAGACTATTTACCGGATTTGTAATAACATAAGCAACACGACGGGTGCCACATGTGGAGCAGGATGTGCTTACCCTTCCGGAGCACCTGAGATCACCCCCAGTTTTTGTTTGTGTTCGTGTTGCTTAGTCTTTGGTTTTCTATGTTGTGTCATCTGTACTATTATTTGTCTGTTTGTCTTTTTATTTTTGGCCATGGCGTTGTCAGTTTGTTTTCGATCTATGAGTTTGACTGTCCCTCTGGTATCTTTCGTCCCTCTTTTAGAACTATTCTTAAGAAAGTGCCCATGGAAATACCCAAAGGGCAAACTGTCCGGATGAATGAAGATGTACAATAGAACAAAACTCTCCATTCCTGAAAAATAATGGAGAGTTCAAACAAAAGATTTACGTCACAGGTGTATTTTAAGCATTTTTAAACTAAACATTCTTCACTTTTATGTCTAACAATCCATCCTGAGGTATAAAAAGTACTCAAAAAGAAATATTGTCACTTTATAGTGTTATCGACATAAATATCAGTAACCGTAGACTTATAGTCTATAGCTCTCAATATGTGTAAAACTATTCATCCTTAGGGACAAAAAGAACAGAGTCTTAATGCCGTTGTATAATATTTTAACAAAATGGAAAATATTGGCCCCTTTTTGATGATGAGAAAACAAATTTTTCAATTTTAAACTTAAATTTCTTCACTTTTATGTCTAACAATCTATTCTGAGGTATCAAAAGTACTCAGTAATCCGGCCAGTACTATAAAATCAATTAGACAAAAGAAATATTTTCACATTTTATAGTTATCGACATAAATATTAGTAACCGTAGACTTATAGAGCTCTCAATTTGTGTAAAACTATTCATCCTTATGGACAAAAAGAACGGAATTTTAATGCGGTTGTTTACGACAACAAATTTTGCAATTTTAAACTTAAAATTCTTCACTTTTATGTCTAACAATCCATGATCCTTAGGTATAAAAAGTCTCAATTACCAGGCCAGTACTAGAATACAATAAAAGAAAGAAATATTGTCACTTTTTATTGTTATCGACATAAATATTAGTAACCATAGACTTATAGAGCTCTCAATTTGTGTAAAAATATTCATCCTTTGGAACAAAAAGAACAGAATTTTAATGCCGTTGTATAATATTCTAACAAAATTGAAAATATTGACACAATTCATTCTGATGTATAAAAAGTACTCAATTATCAGGCTTATTACATTTCAAATTTGAGATAAATAAAAAAGTTATAAGCACTTTCATTTGGTCTTGTCATTGTCGGTATTGGTCCAGTCATTGTCGACGTTGCTCAGGTCATGTTTTCGCAATCTTTGAACATATTTTTTCGGTTTTTTTTTTTTTTATCTAACATGTCTAAATATTAAATAATGAAATCCTATTATATTTCAAATTTGAGATAAATCCTGTGATAAAAAAAATATTAGCATTTTCATTTTGGTCCTGTCATGATCCAGTCATTAGTGTCACCCACAATGCAGTAGTAAACGTGCGTTTACTTTTTACACATACACATAAGACGCGCCACGTTCACGTTAAAGCGGAAGTAAACGCGGAAGTAAGCGCCCATTTACTATGAACAAATTAAGAAGACGTGCCTTTTTCGCGTTAACGCGGAGGTAAACATAAAAGTAAACGCCTGTTTACTTTTTATGTCTACTAAAATTTTGAAGTTAACGCAGAGTTAACGCGGCGTTTACATACATTACATGCGAGTAAACGCCGCGTTAACTTTTTCCGCGCGTCTACATGTAATGCTTGATCTGCACCCAACTGTATGTCTTTTTGATCGAGTTAAGCCATTTCAGTTGATATTTTATAGTGTGTCTTTCTATGTTGTTATGTTACACTACTTTTGCAGTTTAGGGTGAAGGTTGGCGCCTGTAAAACGTTTAAACATCTTCTTATTTCTATGTAAATATTAGTTTGGTAAGTTGTCGAACTGTGCGACGGTTTAAAAGTTTGTCATAATTGTAAAGGCATTAAAAAAAAAAACAGAAATTTTAGGATAAACTTTAATGAGAAAATATTACAGACATTTGTACTTTTAAGGTCTTTCTACTTTTTCGTGGAAAGACCTTTTGCTTTTGTTCTGATTATTTTTTTTTTCTTCCACCTAATTTTTTTCTTGCGCTGTATTGATGTTTCATAAGATGTCGCTTAAATATTTTGTATATGATATTGTAGAGTTAATACGCCTTTGAAGCTGACCCTGTTTAAAGAACACTTTTCTTTGTACGAGTTAATATCCTCAGACACTGTTTTTCTTGTTATGAGATCTCCTTCGCAACCGTAAAAGTAAGCGACAAATTTATTTTTCCA